CAGGTATTTTCTACCTGTAACACCACCGAGTCATCTACCACCTGGTGCTATACACACTCTTATATAGGAGTCATATAAAAGGTATAATGCATGATATTGCAGTATGTTCAGCTACTCTGATGATGACTGAGCTGTGTGTGTGATGGCACTACTTTGAGCTGACCAGAAAATCAGACCTGGTGAAGGAAACATCCTTGTGTGCTGCTATAGTCATTTTCCAGATCTCTGATGAGTAAAGTTTGGTGTGCATGTGTGCAATATGTGTGCAAGTACACACAGTTTACATCTACTGTAGCTAAACTTCATACAGTATACAACAGTCCTGCAATAAAACCCTAAGGTTTTTTTACTATTTGTACTAGTTACTAAAATGGTTTTAGAGAGGTGTTGATTCAACAAGCAGCTCTGTGGTCATTTTGGAAGATGTAGTTTGCGAAGTGCTTAAAATGTGTTGTGTTATAGGCATGGGCGGGACCAGGGGGTAGCTGGTACCACCCCCAGAATCTGATTGGATACCCCTTGTGCTATCCCTGCCAGAGTTAAAATGTGATACTTGTCAGTTATCAGTGAATAAAAAATAAAAACAAGACAAATTGTTGCCTTAAAAACAACTAACGTTTTTCTGATGCTCTGTAACTGACATTGGTCTAATTAGTTTTGTTTTATATCGTGCATGCAGCATGATATTTGCATTCATGCCATGCCATGATTGGCCTCAGTATGGGGGAACCATCGTGCACCAGTGATGTCCCAGGCTGAGATTAATATTATAAGCAGTGCAGCCAAATTTAGCTAAAGGAAACGCTGTGTGTGTGTCTGATTTTTACAGAGAATAAACAATTTGATTTTTAATAATGTGCCCCTGTCTGGCCACCCTGTTAAAATTTTTTATATCTGCACCTAGTTACAGGCTACTGACAGCTGCTTTTATTATTTAGTCCACCTCATTTATATCACTAGTTGTGTTCCATTTGGCTAAGGAGGCGAGGACGCAGACACCTTTTTAAACAGAGGCACACAAAGCTGACGGTGATTTCATCAGGTGATGAAGAATGGCCAGTAATTACAGAAAATGTCCTTTCATTTTAATGCAACACAATACCTGTGCTTTTCAGTTAGGCCCACACAAAGCAAATAGCCTACATTAAAGCTATCACTGACTAAATGTTTCCCCAAACAGCAGATAAGACACCATTGTAATATCAAATGTGATTTTATGGGATTTTCTTTCATTCAGTCATAAATCAATCATGGTTTTACACAATCTAGGTTAAAAAACAAATTGACAGCATAATATTCCTAATTAGTAATCCAATGCCCTATCTGCAGAGTTTATGATTCATGATCAAAACATGGACTAATGGGAAATAGTGCCCACATTTCCTGTTGTAAAAGTCAGCGAATAGGCTGTTAGATCTTATGTTTAGATTCAGTGTTGCCAAAATGAGGTTAGGGTCACCCTGAAGTGAAGGATATGTTTCACTATAGCTGTTGTTCACAATTCTTTTGAACATGTTACTGTTTTCATTTTCCTAAATTTGCCATGGCATCAAATTGACACAAATGGCATGTGAATATAATGTAAGGAAACCAAGCCTGTCCAGCACAAACCAGCACTGAGTGCACTCAGTGAGGCTAGGCTACAGGACACACCTACGGTGGACCACCAGCCATAAAGCTTAATGTAAGGCCAGCAAACTTCATCAGCTATTAGGCTGTTATTAAATATTAAATCGGTGAATTAGTTAGTTTTTACTTTTAAGCATATTATATTCATTATATCAAGTTATGGATCAAATGAAAAAATTGAGTCTGTTCTTTCCTAATGGACTCTATGCAATAGGCCTGTTTACTAATGGACAAAGTAATTGACTGGCTCCCACTACCATAAAGAAGGCTAAATGGATGTAAAACATACCCTAACATAGGAGGGTATTCCCTTGTATTTCGGTAACTTACAGTTAAAGAAGCTGAAATTGTAGGCACTTTATTCTACCCATTAGCAGTGAAATATTCAATTTGGTCAAATATTGGCATAGGATAGGGTCACATCCATCCACTGTAGTTCAACTTCTTCCTGTTTATATCTGGCTATAGTACAGTGTCCCCATAGGGCATAGCCTACTCCACTGGTCCAGTTCAGTAGGTGGTGACAAAAAGAGAAAGGTTGGTACCACTTGTTATATGCACTGAAGTATATTTGTATTGCTGCAACTGCCACACCAGCAGCAGGCTTAAATTGCTGAGCAGAAACAGACAGTCTATGAGCAGAAAAGCAGAATGCGACATGTCAAAACAATATTTTATTAGGTTTACGAAATGTGACATAAAATGTACATTCAGCATTTATATTGACATTAAATGTTTAAATACATTTTTAAGTCCAAGGTGTGTTTTGTTTTCTAGATTGTTCTTCTGTTTGGTGGGAAAAGAGACATTTTAGGCAACCAGAACCAAACAGAGCTGTTTGAAGAAGATTTCTTTTGTGATTCAGCTATTGAGTAAATGTGACAGTCCTCTATTGATGGAGTCAAGCTTGGTGCACAAAACTGACTCAACAGCTGAATATTAGCACCTCACATGGCTATTAAGCATTTTATTCTATTCTATTTTATTATACAACACCCCCAAAATTAAGCTCAGACAGCAACTAACTATGAATGATTGACTATAATAAGATGTATCTATTCATTTCAGCTTGCATAGCAGCAGCAACTGTGTATTGTAAACTAGTGGCTGAAAAAACACACAAAGGGTTAATGGATGTGTCTGGGTTACCAACAAAAGGACAGATTGGAGTTACTCAGCTCTCCATTAATCACACTAATGATGAATTAATTTGCATATTTGACGTGCAGTGTTCTTATTAAGTGTGCGGCTTTAATCAAAGTGACATAAATCACAGTGCTGTTAGGACAAATGTGTGTCTTGACGAGCTATTTACCTTGTCAGGAGGACTGTAAGATCTTTCCCTTCCGCATACCATTTTACTTTTCAGACACCAACGACACAGCTGTTCCAATAACACATACAGTAAAACACATCATAGAGGAAAGTGTTTCAATAAAACATTTAAACCTACCTTTTTTTATTAGCTTACCTGCTTCTACATGGATTGTCAATCATCGTGTCCAACTGGGACACACTGGGACCTGGCAGTAGGCTGAGACTGACGCAACATCTTGCAATAAACAATGTGCTGTAATAGTACGTAACCCAGAGGCTAGCAGCACAAGTAAAATCCAAGTTTTGAGAAAGCTTAACAAAATAAATGATGAGATTTTGTTTCTGTTGTCTTCGATGCCCTAGCTTTTCCTCTGGTGGCTGTTTCCTACCTGCCTGTTTTGTTGGACTTGATGACTGGCCTGAGGGTCATTGTGATTGAGATGACCTGCCTCATCGATCACCTGTCACAGGTATGGATTAGAACGAAGACCTGAAATATATCAAAGGGAGGTGGTGGCTGCTTGATTATGGTCTGACCCCTGAGGTGAAGTGGCCTGTTCCATTCTTTTTCAATTGAGTTCAGCTGTGGTTAGTGGTTTAAAAACTCAGAAACTCCATGGCTACATTAACCTGTTACACCTATACACTTTGAGAAATTGTTTAGAAATCTGAGTGGAATATATTCTGAAATGATTGTTTTAAAACCATGTTTTAATATTGGCCCCCTCTTCAAGTGATCAAAGCCAACTGATGACCAAAAAGCCAGTGACATGAAGTGAACCTGTTGGTTTTTGTGGGGCCCGAGGAGTCTGCTGTTGCCCATTTGTGGTCAGGAAAGGAGCCATCATCTATTTCATTCTCAGTAATACAAACAAGCAAAAGACTACATGTTTTCAAAACTTTGCTGAAACATGACAAATTAGACGCCTTCTTTAACGAACTCCTATTCAGCTTGTCTTCAGTTTAGTCAAGCTCCTCTTTGTTACAGTAATTTGGACTGACTTTTCACACTAAAGAAAGGTCCTATCGAATTTGTGGATAATAAAGACTCTAATCAATTATTTGTACCAATTCTCTGTGCTTCACGGGTTTGCTGCAGCATTTAGACAATTTAAAAGAAAATACAAATAAATACGCATTTTAATTTAAGTAAGTGTATGTGCACACTGGCTTCTTTTAAGTGTCACATTTAAAAGTAGCTAGACAAATAAAAAAGTAGTTACATGTTAGAAGCAGTTATATGTGTCCAACCAAAGACATGCCCTTCTGTCTACACAATGTGGTGTTAAAAGGGCAGCGCTACTGAATATGTGACACAATTGAAGAAGAAAATCAGTATTATAGAAACAACCTTTAAATATGATGGTAATGGTGGTCTTACTAAGTTTCTGGTGTGAACTGATTTGGAAAAAAACACGACATACTGCAGACATTTCAAAAGGCTGCTATTTCTATCACAATAACACAGCAAAGTGTCAATAGGCTCATCTATTCTCTGTCTCCCAAATCCACACAAGCACACACCTCCAATAAAGAACACCTTTTATTAAATCCAACTGATGGTTCAAGGGATATTTACTGTACAGGATGCTGTACATCAGGTCTATATTGACCATTTGTTTACAATTTCCAGGAAGTGTCCAGATTGGTAATAGATACTCAGAGCAGGTTATTACCCAGTAACAATATATCAGTTTTCCCCTTAAAATTTATCAATGAATTAATCTTTATTTTTAAATGAGTCTACTGACCTGACATTGCCACCCTGCCAAAAAAGAGCAGCTTATCCTCCAAACAGAGTCATTAATCCGTATTTGAGTGGGAAGCGTTAGTGCCCCATGGTTTAAAGGCTTTTCATCCATCCCACTAAATACACAGGTCCAGATTAAATATTTATATTTTAAGATTGCCAGCTTAAAACATTAAAAGAAAATCAAGGTGAGCATTGGCACAAATACTAGCAAAGCACGTTCCCCAAATGGTTCATGTCCATACACTCAGCAATGCAGTGAATCCTGACTGCTACTATAAATAATGACTGTGAGTATCAACAGCATCCATGAACATGCTCACGTTCCGAGGTCTGCAGGCATGAGGCTCAGTGCGTATCACAGTATCTTTAGGACCCAGCGTGTCTCCTCCTCAGCCTCTGTAGATGTCGTGTGGACATGAGGGAGACTGAGATGTGCTTCTTACTTATCACGATCCACATCGAGCTTCTGCACCAGCTGAGGAGGATGCTGAACAGGACGATTTGAAGACAGGATCCGCTCCCTCATCTGCTCGTTTTCATTTTTTTTTTCAGAGTTAGCATTTCAATTTCCCACCCTCCATCACATTGTTGTTATTTTTTACTATACGATTTTGGGAGACAGTGATAACCAATGCATTTCAGGTGCATCCCTGCTGCTGGCTGAGACTATGATTTATCAATGCTCGCAGCTTTGGTCACAGGATCAGTCAGTCTCTTCCCAACAGGAGCGAGCGGTGAATTACCCTTAACTTTCTTGTGTCTTCGACGATTCTTTCTGCACTTGAGGTGAGTGTCCTTCCCCCATTTACAGACCAAGAAAATGCGGCTTTCATTATTTATTATCTGAGGAGATGCTGGAAATCGTGGGAGGGGAGCTCCATCGCTCTCCACATTTTCTGTAATAATATTGTTTATTTCTGCGTTTAATGGGCTTTTTTCGCTCACATTGGTGGCATGGCGTCAAATAGCATCATATGTTGGTAACAGTAAAGCTGAGTGAGTGGAGGCGTACAGCAGGACGTGGTAGTGAATACTAATTAGCTACTGGAGCTGTCTCTGTTTCTTGTTCTACGTCTGTTTTTTCGCGTGCTGGAGGGAAGCCCCCAAAATAAGCGGCCTAGTAGTGGATATAACGACTGTATAGTTCACATATAAATCCTCTGGTATATCAAGTCGGCTACACTGAGCCTCCATTCATCACAGCGTCTGTCCTGCTGTGTGTAGGTGTTGAAGCAGCCATGTGGAGCAGAAGGAACGCGTCTCTACTTCTCATCTCCCTACTGGCGCTCACAGCTCTCTGGAAAATCAGGTGAGTCCTTTGACTGGGAGACGCCTTGTAGCAACGAGATCTAGGCTATAGCCTAAAACTGGACTCTTTATCAGTGGTTATACATTGTGCAGGAGGGGAGAGTTTATCGCCTCCAGCATTCTCAGTCTGACCATAAATATAACCCAGAGGACATGTGGGTAATTACCTGCTGTCTTAAATGTAGCCTATTGCAGCTGAGCTGCAGCTTGTTCAGTGCATGCCTAATGAGTCCTCAAATCCTATGGTTGCTAATTGTTTAATATTACAAATTGTCTTGGTGAGCTATTCCATAGGATAAAAACACAAACAAATATAAGTAAAGAAATTATCATTTTGGATAATACTACTAATATCAGCCTTGACAAGCATTTTTGTGACTAAATTGCCTTTTTTCAGTATCAATAAATTAATAGGCTAGGCCTAATTAATTTGAATTGATATGTCTGGAAACCTGCAGCTTCATTTTTACTAAGGCTTGACACCCACCAGATACGAATCAGAAGACATCTCCCAAATCACATTAGGTGAAATGGTGTTTTTGATACTGGCCAGAGTGAGAAGTCAGGTCACTCAGCTGCTCACACCACAGGACTGCTGACATAAGATAGACAGTCAAAAGTCAGAAGCATGAGAAGCATTTAAAATTAGGCCATCACTTCCTCTCAAGGCACAGTTATGATCCCACAGAGGAACAGACTCTGAAAACCTGTCCTGGGTGTTACAGGCTGTAGACCATTTTCACCAACGGCATTTTGAGATGTGAGAGTAGGAAAAGCACAGGTGTAAATAACAAAGTGGCTGAATTATACAGTAGCTGGTTTGGTTTTGGTGTCATTGTAATATAAGTCTAATAGCTTTATTGTTTTCACAAGCTGAATAATCTGAACGCAACCTGTCAGAATGACTGCTGTGAGAAAGCATTACTTGGCTAGAAAGAAGAGGAAAACTTTCCCTTTGCATTCACACAGTAATTCTAGTCGCCTACACCATTTGGGCAGTAGTGTGTTAACAAGTAAAACAAGATAAAAGCACAGCATATGTTGCTGTTCTTACTGTTACTGCCACAGTTACTTCCAGCAGTTCTTTTCATCAAGATGCTGAATTATATGAACACAGCACAATCAACACTTACAAAAATGCATAATTATCTGTAATGTTATGTGGAGCTGGCATACAGTAGATAGGAATCCTACAATGTTTTTGGCTTCAGAAAACCATTTTGAGCTAGTGCAACTAGCTACCAAGGAAGCCTCGAACTAGCTAGCTGGTAGTTAGAATGCTAACATTAGCAGGCTAACATTAAACACACATGAAACAAAAATTAGCTAAATAAATTTAAGTTAATGTATGTTTAAATAAATAAGTTTCATCATTAGTTAACTGAAGATTTTATATATTTGATGGTAATTTAAGTCATGCTATTTTGAATGCAATGCTACCAGAACCTAAACATTATGTTAGCTTTTTCAGTATGGGAGCATTTTAAAATATAATTACACAAGTCAGCATAGCCTATTAGAGAACTTAAATATTCCAAGCCTGTCAACACCAGTAAGTAAGCTACATTAATCCACCATTTCACTGATATAAATAGAGGAATGTGATGAAACAGAAAATACCAGATGTGAAAAATTATTAATATTGTATATTCCCATTTCCTCATCAAAATAAAATATGCTCACAACCTGAGGCTGTTAACAGTGGTGATGATGTCAAGCTTTAATGCAGGACCTTATCTGAATTTATTTACCATGAATCTCCAGCTCTGATTACATTTGCATATTCAGCTGTGTTTTGGCTCAATGATATAGATCACACATGTTCTGCCTTGAACTGCGTCATCCATGTGAAACGATGTATATGAGTTTGTAGGTACATATGGACACACATGAAATAACAACCCAATTTTCTTTCCCTTAAATCTCACCACTGAGCAAAAGAAAGTTAATACATATCAGACTTCATCAGGGGCCTGTTTGTTGTATTGCTCCAGCTGATGTTGTTACTGTGTTTCTGTCAACTAGATCTGTGAATGCTGATCCCTCATCTGATGCCTTTAAAACCAACATCACCCTGTTCACACGGATCCTGGACAGACTGCTAGATGGATATGACAACCGCTTGCGGCCTGGTCTTGGAGGTAAGAAAATGATACAGTATTGCTGGATGCATTGAAGGTCTTTATTGAATATATGTACAATTTATACAATCAGCATGTCTCATTTTTGAATTGGTTGATGGCTCTTTTTGAGTGAGAACGCTTCATTTAACATCAGCTTCTTTGACAGCAGTCTCCTCAAGAATATACTGACAAACACACCCTGTGCACAAAAGATTTGAGTTACATAACACTTTGCTTCTTGGAAAGTATCAGCAACCAAAGCGGCTGCAGAGGGCTACGCTCTCTAGTTTTTCCAAAAATGCCCAAAACAATCAGCTAGATTTTGTTGAAAAAAAAAACTATGGATGCATAGAACAACATTGCACACCTTTGCAACTATCTGACTTAGAATTTTTTGCTATTGAATTAATTTTGTGTATATTTCAGTCTTTAGTCAATTCCTTCTTAAATTAGCTAATTTAAATTAGCAGTTGGAGTAAAATGCAGCACCCGAGAATTGATAGGTTTTGTTATTTATTCCTTAAAATATTCATAATACATCTGACAGCATTCTGGTATGTAGTCAGAATTAGAAATTGCAATACTTGTACTAGCTTCTGAAGAATTTCTATTTTTAGATGCATGGATGCCTTTGCCTTCATGTCATCATTAACATGATGGTTAGTGTTGATGCAGTGGCAATTTGCCAAGCTGCTACTACAGTTTAAATAGGTGGGCAGTGTTATGGCACAAGCACTTAAATATTTCACAAGGTGGTGTCTAAAGTCTAAATGCATTTCCTCTCCACTCTAAACAAGTATTTGTATCATAACGATGTTTAGATGTACACTTATATTGTATATAGTACAAGTATTTATGCAATTGGAATGTGGTTGACGCTGTGTTGTGATGTGTGTAAATTTGCATGTAGGATAAGTTTATATACTGTAGAATAATGTAAAAATAAAATATTTTAACATAAAATAATATATGCTGTACAGTAAGATCAAACTTATTAACATATTTTTACTTGCTGGTCAAATGTAGCCATTAAAAAGTGAGTTTCCTGAGCTTCTAAGAGATTTGATACATTTTACGCTACATAAGCTTGATATGCCCACTCTCTGCAGAACACAGGCCATTTTGCTATTTGTGGAGAGTCACACAGCATCTTCTCCTGTAGCAGGAGTGTAGTGCTTCTCTCTCCATCTTCACCTCTCCCATCATCCACCATGTTTGTCATCTCATTTCCAGCTGGCCCCTCACCCAGAGCTGAGCTCCTCCCTCAGGATTTGGTATCATTTGAAATTCAGATTCCTGGAGCCATCAGCCCAGCCAGTGAGCTGCCATATGGGTAACAGACCTCCATTAGCTTGGCAGCACTCATCCTGTACAACTGGACCTACAGTAATAATGAAAAGCATAAATGTTTGGCTTATTAATACAGTGTAGCTCTGGTGTATGCCTTTTTAATTATTGTATTTTATGGCCTCCAACACTGATTTGGCCCTAGCATTTATGTCAACACTTCTGTAGCCCATTGGGACTAGTTAATATAGGATCGCATCAGTAAAACTGTATTAATGTCAACCCAAGTAGGAGCCAAACCCGTGACACTCAGAGTGCACCTCGTGCACACAGGGGCTACTTCAAGGCTTGGCATTCAATCTAAAAAGAGAAAATAACATCAGATAGAATTTTCCACATTGTAGACACATTAGATTCTCTTGTCTCATCAGTGGGAAAAACATGTTAACGCTTCCCTGGACTTTGCTTTATACCACATTTGTAATGACTGAAAAAGCGCCTCATCACAGCTGCATGAGTGTGTTCACTCATACTTACATACAGTATACATGTGTTTTGGGGTGCAGAGTCAGTCTGTGTTTTTTAATTGGTTCAATAGCATGCCAGAAAAAAATCTGTATCTATTACATAAACTGTATGCACTTTCAAACATTCAATCATTCATTTACAGCATAATTATATACATTCAGAGTACCCAGGCTTACTGTCATTTTGAGGCCTGACTTTGTAGCTTTCCTGCCAGGTGTCTGTTTTACTCTTCACTATCAAACATGTTATATTCTGTACTGGTGGACAGGAGTAGTCCATGGCATCTAACATAAAGATAGAATCAGTTCCAGGCCTGTTACCAGCAATTGTATTACACTATGTCATATATGTCAAACTCAGGCCCACGGTGTAAGCGTATTTGGCCCAGGCTACCAGTCACCTCAGGCAAATTTAATCCACCCCTCCCAAAAATGGCCAAATGAAAGATGGAAAACAGGAGCTTTCAAGACAGGTGGGAGGAAGATTATCTGCTCATTAATGTAAAGGACAGACCTGTTTGTTTTGTGTGCGGAGCCAAAGAGGCTGTAATGAAAGAATATAACATAAGAAGACACTATGAAACGAAACACCAAGACCACTACAAGGACCTGGACATGAAGCAGAAGCTCCAGAAGGTAGAGGAGATGAAAAGAAGTCTGGTTTCAAGGCACAAAATGTTCACAAAACAATAAGAAACGAATGCCATTGATGTGTTTTTTATTGGAAATTTGATTTCTCATGTGTTTATTCTATTAAGCTTTGCTTGTTCCAAATTCAATGTTTAAGCAACTTGTTTGTTTCCATATGAAAAAGTTTAGCATTCTATATCTGGAGAGAAGGGAAAACATGCTCAATTTCATTCAATATTTCAATAAATATAGAGTCTGGCCCACAACTTTGTCCCAGTTTTTAATTTTGGCCCACCGTGTATTTGAGTTTGACCCTCCTGCACTAAGTCATACACAGAACGGTATGATCCAACATCCAGGTTGAACATGGATTTATGGTTCAGATGTTTTTACTTAACTGTGAGACAGTTAAATGTACACTGATGAGCACTGCATTAGTGTAGTGAACAAAAGATGTGAGTTTTATGGCTTTGACTGATAATCAGATGATAAAGATGGAAAAGATGAACCCGTGTGTCCCCTTGGGGCCACTAGAGGGTTTCACTGGAGAGAGAAAATCTAATTGTTTCATCACAGAATGAACTTCTGTGTGGGTTTAAGCTGTACATTGCTTTTCAAATTATTTTTAGCAAATAGCCATTTGATGGCTTATTGCTTTCTGAAGCAAAATGAACTATTTTTACCTAATGTTGAACCTACAGTATGATTTAACTACTGTGGACTAAACTGTCATTCTTTATTCTTTCTTGTATTGATGATCCATTTCAAGTGCTGAATCCATACCAAGCTCTTTTCAAATGCAGCAATTGTTTCTGTCACTGTCACTGAAATCAAACCAGGCTGCAGAGAGTGAATGCAGAAAGCACAGTTGCTCCCACATCCTCATTAGTGTGACTGCAAGGCAGCTCACTTCTGTTCATGTTCACACTTCATCTACTAATTAGCTTTCCACCCCAAAATTTGTCATCTAACTACAACTTCCAGCTTTCATCTAGCTACAACTTCATGCTTAGAGCTATTATACATTATGTACCAGCTTTAAAGCAAGCAAGAACTTTGTGTCAAAACCCAACATTTTTATTACGTGAAATCACAACTTGGGGCTGTAGGGGCCATCCTTGCTGGCTAAGATGCTGTGGATTTGTCCTAACCATCAGAATTAGAGTAAATGTTGTTGTCAGTTAAGGTCAGTTCAAAAATTTGATAAAGTTGTTTCACTCCTCTATTTGCTGTGGCACTCAGATCTGTTCTGACCATTCACATATACTGTATACGATGGACGCGGCATCACCACTTCCCTCCACAATGCAAAAATAAAGCCAGAATATCATGAATATGGCGGCTGCCATCTTGTGTTTTTGCAACCAGCTTCTGCACAGTGACAGCATCAGACCATCAATCAAAGCTTTCAAATCAATCGAAATACACCTCTTTTTTATATCATCAAATAACATATTAAACACAGACTTACCAGAAACATGACCAGTTGTACACACATCAGCGTGATAATATCTACCAACAACCACAGAAGTGACTGCTGGGAGAAATTTATTTTATTTGTACTTTGACTTTTTATTTAGCTCATGCTCCATCATCTAACATGGAAATAGACTGGATTTATGACCTCTGCCACAACCATCTGCAGTAGCTTCACTTCTGGGAGCTGTCAGCCGGTCCATCGTTTTTACAGTTGTTCTGCCTGGAAATATTTCCTGTGATAAAATGGATACTGCTGAACATTTGTGTTGTTGATATTGATGTTGGATTCTATTTAGATTGGCTTATAATATAAGTGATGATCTTGGAGGATCCTGCTAAGTACAGTAGAAGAGCAAAGCTAGCAGTGCTAACCACATGGAGACATCACACTCTTCACTTACAGTATCAGGCATCAGGTGGTGGAGATGCTGAATTGACAAGATGTAATGCATTTAAATTAATGAAGTAATCAGCAGTAGGGACGGGAAGTTGGCAGCCGTACAGATTGTTCATTTAACTTACTGCTGTTAAAACATGACAGTTTGATCAAAATAGTCAGGTTGTTGTCATGGTTATGAATCAGGGTCATCTTACAAAGATGTCATCTTCTTCAACCGATGTCACCTGCTCCCTCCCGCGGTCCAACGCTGGAGTTTTGCTGCCATTCTTTATCTCTGTCTGAACTGGCAAGAGTTAAGTTGACATTTGGATAGCTGCACAGCAGGATGCACAGAC